TTGAGCGAGAACTGAAAAGGCCACGCCGAAAGAAGGACCTATATATCAAGAGGCTGAATAATTCTATAAAATGCACCACGGGGATACAAGAACTCGTTATCGACAACATAGAGGGCACAGCGGTTGAGTTACATCTCGATGTTCGTTTGCGGGGCGAAGGACTAGTAATGGAGGCCTTTAGCCACTGCGTTAGCAACCCACCACGACGCTGCTGGCTTTCACAGATATACCTGTTGCATGCATTACACAAAAAGAATCCAGAGGAGAGTTTTGACGTGTTTCTAGTGCTTATGCGGACTTCGCCGGCCGATGGCAAGCCCAACTATTACCGGCGCATTGGTTTGATGACATTAACGAATAAAGAGGCTGACATGCGGACTTGGGACGAGATGATTCATGGCCAAGTAGAACCTCAACAAGAAGAATTTTGGTTATTATAAGCCACTCTATGTTTAATTCTTTGACAGCCGGAGCCTTTAGAGTGTTTTTGCACTCTGAGAGGGAGAAACAGATATTGATGGCTGGGCTGGTAATTCCAGTGAAGTGCAATTGGTTGTGACGGTAGTGAGTGTGGATTTGGGGAATCAAATGTTGAGTATATAGTGACGAAGTTGCTTGTAGAAGTTATTAGGTAGAAATAGAGAAATTGGATGTGGTTTAAACTAAACTGCTATGAAATTTAGAAACTATGGGTTGGGGAACAGAATTGTCATCATTGAAGTTTTTTTTACAGTTTACGTAAGATGCAGAGATATACTGTATGGTATTTGCTCTGCCAGGACTATTAAAACCTGTTAAAAACCCAATAAAATTACCATTTCCCCAGATTCCAGCTCTTCTACTATCGATCCTATGTCTGAGTGCAAAAGGGGCCATCGCTAGCCTCAGAGGCGGCGGCAAACAATCCCAGGGCTACAAAGAAGCAGCTAACTGGGAATTTTCTTGCGCTGGCCCAAGTGCGTCTTGCCCATGTGGATGAACGAAAACTAAAGAATGTACCAAGAGGAAACCGAAATCGAACCCGACTATAGCAAAAAGGTATAAAGTACTAATATATAGAAAAAGTATGTAGGTATAATATTTAGTTTAAAAAAAAATACCAAAAATCACCCTGCTACTACAGTACTAACATTGGAAATTTTATTAGCTTTATCTGTTGACGGGTCCCATAAAAGCACCTTGGCTCCAGTATACCTAGGCATTGATAATCTAGCGATACTTCCCACTCATTTTCCTTTGCTAATGCCATTGTTCGGCCATCACATAAAAGCTTCAGGTAAAAATATTTGTTGCAATTTCTATTCCTTTGTCTTTGTACGCTTTCAGTGATTTCTGCGAAGTCAATGAATGGCTCCTGAATTTCGCGTTCCTCATATTTCTTTGTACTTGCCCTCCTCTTCTCATGATTACGCCCTTCACGCTTCTTAGCAGTGTTTATCATCAAAATATAGCATCAACTGCCTGCAAGGTCTTACCATAATTTATAGAGAAGATGTCTTCTTTCGACCTAGACACCCTCATGTCAGGAGCATCGCAAGACGAGTCGGATAGTGCGATGGAGGACCAGTCTGCTGCGTCAGATGATTATATCGGGCTTGGTAATCATTATGAGAAACAGGAAAACCCACCAGCGCCTGCGTCATCCTTCGCTCTAGGCCCAGCACCACAAGGCCAACCAAGAGACAGAATCGCTAAAACCCCATTTGCAGGAGAATACCGGTCTGTCTTTGTCAATATTGCTCCGCCTGCGCTCCAAAATTCGGAGCTTAATTTGTTAAAACATGTCAATTGCAGCTACCTATCGACACCCGGACGCGCTCCAACGCTAGCTGAGCTGAAGCAACATGCACAATCCCTCACGGTGCTCATTAAGCATCTCACACTATCCACATCCAGTGGATATGTTGATGGTGCTAACCTAGGACATCGAGGGGATCCTGCGGTAACAAGTAATCCAGACAAACTAGCTGCTTTTCATCAAGGTCAGAGCTTCGACTGGCTGAACAATTTGAATGAGCCATATGCCACGACTGATAGGCATCATAATATGCCTTTGACTGCATTAATAAATATATTGGAAAAGACTCCTTTGCCCTACAACGCCAATCAGCTGCCAGACCATTGGCCAGAGTATAGAGAGATCTGCCCACTATACAAAGCCTGCAGTGAACCTGCTGAACATGGCCATGCCCAGCCATATGCCACCCATCAAACATTGATTCTGCATGCAAATGATGTCTTGGAATATCTTGATCACGAGTATTCAGCTAAAGGGGGGTTGCTGGGTATTCTTCCACTGGCCTCAGAGGAAGCAGATCGCCAGCTGTCAGAGACAACACTCCTAGGACAGTTCATTCTCTATACACAGCGTCTTGTACAGCGAGTTCACGATCTGGAACGCCTCTACGCAAATGCATGTGACGTTTTAGCTGGTGAAGCAGCTGCTCCTCACCAATACCTCTCACGCCTTGGTCCACAAGGCCGCAAGCCCCGAGGTATGGTCTACCCGCAAGACCGATTTGTACTTGTCAATGCCGGAGACGATGTATACTCGTGGTTGCAATCTGAGTTTAATCGACGAGAAATCGCAGATGAAGAGCTGGACAGGTACAATAAAAAGCTTGGTCTTACCGGAGAAGCGCTATGGTCCAAGCCAGGCGCAAAAGAATTCGCCGAAGGTATTACCGCAATTGATGTTACAACCAGGTATTACCGCCTTCGCAAAGACCCGCTCAAAACAGTCTTCCTCATCCCCGCTTGGCAGAACCATCCAGGCACAACGGCCACACGCAAGTTCGAGGGTGAGCCTACTGTTGTGAGCGTTGTGAAGCCTCTCTGGCCAGAGCGCATCTCCATGTGGGAGCAGAAACAGCGCGATCAAATCACAGCCGGTAAGCTGGCACAGCGTGAAAACGAGCAGCTGAAAGCTCAAAAGGATACTGATGATGCAACTATCGATCTTATGAAGCTTCACCTTGACAGGCAAAAGGCACTTGTCCAAAAGTACCAGAATCTTATAGGCGATTTAAGACGTCCCAATTCCACAGCCAAGAGCTGGAAGGAAGTACTGGAATTTGAAAAGAGAGTAGAAACACGCGATAATGATATTTCGGCCCGAGAGCAAGACGTTCAGAATAGGGAAAGCCAGATCCAGGCAGATAGAACAGCGCTCGAAGCTGAACGGAAGAATTTTCACAGGCATCAAGCGGAAGTTAAGCAAGCAGTACAAAACATAAAAGAAAGGATGAATAGACAGGTTGATGATATCAATGATAGGGACCAAGATACTGAAAGGGCTCATATCCAGCTAGAGGAGAAGCTGAGGGCCGTTTGGGAGACCCAGATCGTGGAGATGCAAACCTTATTGGAGTCTGTGAAGAGCGATGAGGCGAGCATCAAGCTTGGAACTTTCGCGCCTTCTGACACACTCAAGGAAAAGGCGAGACATGAGGCTGAGAAACGTATCCATGATATTCTTAATCACCCTTAGCTTCCATGGGCAGAAGGGGCGGAATTTCGATAGAAAATTTGATATATCAAACAGCTTGGAGTAATGAATTTTGCTGGATGTTCACAGTTCACTGACCTGGTAACAGCTGATATCATTTGTCTAAAGTTCTCAGTGAAAGTAATAAGGCGTGCCTATATTAGCATAATACAAGTTGCGAATAAGGGAGTGATAGGGTTTGAAAAATGTATAGAGTTTAGTCGCCAAAAATTATAGACATTTGTATGTCCTTCACGACCAGACTTATAAAGCAGCCCCTGAATCTATGTCCTAATCCGGTAATAGTTCACGTGATCATGCCCGTTTCGATAAGAGCTCCGATAAGATAACTTCCAGCCTCGCAGCCAACAGATCCCACTTCCACAACACAACATCAACAGGAAGCAAGCCTTCTACAATTGGCGAGCTATGACTACCAAGCCCGAGAAAGTCGACGATGATGTCGATGCATTTGATGCCCTAGCCTCGGAAGAGAAAGAGTTTATCAAAGTACCTCCTCCCTCCCCCAACCTCACTTATATGACAACTGACAACCGTCCAGGATGCAGAGATTGATCGTATTTTGAAAGCATTCCGTTTAGATGCGTATGTCGCCTCTCTCCCTATATTCTGCCGAAATTCAATGCTAATAACGGCAATAGTTATGCAGTCCTTGACCTCCAACCCGGTGTCCCAGAATCCGATATCAAAAAATGTTACCGCACAAAATCCCTCCTCATCCATCCGGACAAAACTTCCAACCCCTCCGCGCCCGACGCATTCGACCGTTTGAAAAAAGCTCAGACCGAGCTCATGGACGAGAAGCACCGCGAGCGGCTGGACGAATCCATCGCCGACGCGCGCATGCTGCTCATCCGCGAACACAAATACACCATCGATAGTGAGGAACTCAAGACGGAAGAGTTTGCGAAGGAGTGGAGGGAGAAGACCAAGATGGTGCTGATTGATAATGAGCATCGGAGGAGAAGGCAGGTGAAGGCACAGATGCAGGAGGAAGGCAGAGAGCAGAAGAAGGCGGATGAGGAGCTGGAGGCGCGGAAGAGGAAGAGGGAGCATGAACAGGATTGGGAGAATACGAGGGAGCAGAGAATCGGGAGCTGGAGGGAGTTTCAAAAGGGCGGGGAGAAGAAAAAGAAAAAGAAGCAGAAGCCGTTGGGTTGAGCGGAGATGGGGCGTCGAGGGGGTTTTTGGCGTTGATATGCACAGGTGGCGTATTTCAAGAGAATTGAGCTAACTTCGCGGTGCTTTTATAGATCCGAATCCTTTACTGAATAAACATCTGGCCTTCTCCTATGTCCGTACCAGATTTTCTACTGTGAGTCTATGATCCAGGGCATCCTTCGGTGTATCTCAGGTCTGTATTACTTTCTTGCATTCTTTTACGCCCCACCCGTACGGATAGCCTTTGAAGAGGTGTTAGACCCATCTTACATTGTCTAGCCTTGCAGCTTTACGAACACCGTAAGAGGGAGGTCTGATAGTACAAAAAGAATGACCATTGACAGGATCGAACTGCCGACCCCTACCTTATGAGAGTAGTGCGCTAAAACCACTGCGCTAAATGGCCTTTTGTTTTCTTGATTGATTCAGCACATTCTATTTCATGATATAAATAAAAAGACAGCTATTGCGATGCTATTGCTACTCATGACGGAGTAAAAGTTGGATTTAAGATTTTTAAAGACCGGACAATGGATTTCCTCCGGCCGCCTAAGGAGATATGTGGCATGTCTAGATTGCAGCATCTAAGGTATATGTCGAAACTGAAGCTGATGAGGTAGCACAATCATTGTATTACAATATTCCATATGTTGCACTATACAAAAACGACAATAAGCAGCAGATAGGTGATAGTTTTAATAATTCTACAATTCTAGCGAAATCAAACACTAAAAAAAAGAGAACATGTCCAGTACTCATTAGTCAGGGGGATTGGGAATATCTACTTAATAACCTCGCTTTAACAGAGCATTATACGGGTACTAAGCAGCGTTCAGCATTTCGCTCATGACATCTCCTAGGCTACCTCTCTGTAGGATCCAGGGAACCGCATATAGAAATGGATCTGAACGCTCTCATTCCTGATTGCGCAGGCTATTCAGGAACTGGGCACTCGTAGCTTTGTCACGGGGACTGCAAAGTACGTGATACATGAAGGAATTGACGCTCGTCGTACAGTCGAGGCTATACGCGCGGGAAGACCTGGGGTTTGAGCCGCGTTCGTAGATGGCATCAGCGTCTGGAAAACTTGAGATGTAGAGCTTAGCTCGGCTGGATATACCTGAGCCGAAGGTTATCAAGCTCCTTCCTGCCTAAACGTGTTCTGCTGCTGATGGCGTCTCCACAGCGATTCATGCGGTAAGACCCCCTCAGCTTTCTTGGAGAAGTTGGTTTCTGCGGCCGAGTGCCCCAAGCGCAAACCCAAGTCTCGCCTACAACCTTAACGTATTGTGTGACAACTACTGAGACAATACGGGTTGGAGTAAATCTACATTGAGGGATACGGTATCGTATTTGATTGAACAGTCAATCAAGATAAATTGTTGTGGGGGGCCAAGGGAGTATATCATGATAATTTCGTTGTTTCTTGCTACCTAAATCTGGTGCATCTAATATCTAGGCTAATTCCTAGTGTATTTTGCAGATCTAAAAAGCATCTGAACCAGTCCCCGGGACAAATGTTCATGTGTTCTTTGTCCTCGCCTCCTAAGACACAGAGTGGCTATATACAGTTTGTTAATTATTTGTGTCGCCTCCCCATTCATTGCACATGATTTTGCGTGTCCGCGTGTCTATTGATGAGGGGCCATCCCGATTGAATTATTTCCAGCATTAAATGCTACGAATTGCGACTTGAACATGATATCCCCATAGATTTGGAGATTGGAATCGATGGCTTGAACGCCTCCAAAGCAAGCTGCGGCATGATTAGCGATATCCTAAGAAGAAAGCAGGTGCTACATACTGGTACCGGCCTGATCGACAGGCGCGAAGTTGATATCTGATCCCCTGACTGTAGCCATGAACGAGTTTCCGACGTCAACCTGAAGGTCAGGTAACTGGGAGTTACAGGGGAATACAACTCCTCCAACTTGAGCATCGTTGACCGCACCATCGACGGTGCTATAGTAGGCATTGACAATTGTGGCAGATGTCAACATTAGGGTCGTTCCGGTATCAGCAATAGCCTGTGCACCAGGGGTGAGCATAGCGTCTCCAGTGCCAACCACAAAGCTGTTCGTTGAGAACTGCCAGAACCCGCGAGTGTTGTTGATGTTGGCCCATTGCATGGTACCATTGAACTTCGTGCTATCGATGTTACCAAATTCGTATGAACCTGGAGCTCCAGATCGGAGGTCCGCTGTAAATACCGGTGCCTTTAGCTGAGGAATGGCGTTGTCGAAGAAGGTTTTCTGTTGTTGAGGTTTTACAGTGTTGAGTTTCGAGAAGGCGAGACCCAGAAGGCCATTAGAATCAGTATCTTGAACGAAAGATTGAGAGACAGCAGTAGCAAGTTCGACAGCCTGGTTCTGAACGGCCACACCACCGATATTAACAACATCGGTTCCAACATTGCCTGCCGAACCGGATCCATCGCCATAAGAGATAGTGTAAGAAGCACCACTGATCATCTGAAAGGTGCTGGATTTGCTGGGATCATACACTGTATGGCCGGTTTGAGATGCAGCTGAGAGCTGAGAGCTGAAAACCCATAGATCCGATGATCCACTGTCGAAATCGAGGTTGAGAGTTTGGCCACCGATGTCAACGGGGGACAAGTACTCGACATCACCGTCTATCGGAGTGGCTGATACAATTCCAGAACTGTTACTAGCAGTAGAGTTTGCGAATGGGGCTCCTGAATTCGCGCCGGCACCGCCGTTTGAAGCCCCAGGTGTAGCAGTCGTTTTGGCACCGGCTGCCCCTGTTGATGCAGCAGACCCGTTTTGTCCCTTTGTTGCATTTTGTCCCGATTGTCCAGCTTGTCCAGCTTTTCCATCTTGTCCATTCTGGCCTTTCGTAGCTCCTGCTAATAGATCGCCCAAGGCCTGGATTGATTGGCCAAAATCTTGAATAGACTGTATAGAATTGACATTGGGGGCATCTGCATTTGCACTTGAGGACGAACCACGTCCCATGGCCTCTAGCAGTCCTGCTGGTAAAGGAATAGAGTATTTTCTGTGTGCCTTGACGAGAGCTCTTGTACCTGCACCCACCGCCCGTTTATGACCGACGGCTCTTTTGAAATTGGGGTTCACTACTCGTTCAACCTTGAAGCTTCGTTTGACAATAGGGCTTCGTTTTATGTTGGCATTTGGCGCTGGAACTGCAAGTACTAAGGCTATGAGGGCAAGAAGCACGAAAACATGTTGAAGAGCTGGCATTTTGATTATCGTCCACACCAGGTGGCAGTAATGAGCGATAGAATTGATCTCTGCAAGAAAGAGTGACTGCTAGAGGATGGATCAATGTGAAAAAGTCTTGAGAAAAGAAGATCGCTCTACGATGTTCTTCCAACTAAAAAACAACAAGAACGACAAGAGATGAGGGTTAACAAAGAAAGGGAATCACACGGATAAGAAAGATGGTTACGCATGAAGTATCGCGTCTAAAAGAAGAGAGATGTGCTTAACCGGGGCCAGCTCGAGCCGGAGAATACCAGACACGGATGCGGCATGGTGTTTGGGAGACGCCAGCTTATTGTGATCACCACATGGAGCCAGTCTGGAATCATACGAAACAATGCTAAGAAGTGATTCGAGGAGGTCGGCGGCGAAAAGGGATTTGACGTGAGGTTGGGTGAAGGGGACCAGTTACAGACTTGGCAGGCATTTGAGGCTGACGTTGCCAATGTTTCGCCTACATAACCTTACCATGTTGTGGTCGTGCATCAAGGCTTGATTAGCGGGACTGACCGACCGCATGGGTGGTCCGCAAGGACGACGACGACGGTGTTGTATTACGAAGTACTGCGGGATATCCACCTACCTATAGTAGGTAGGTGACATAGCAATCTGCAGAATTTTCTGTCAATTAGCAGCTAAAAGGGGCGCTAGACCAACCAACTCGGATCAACTTGGATCTTTCTTGACATTTTTATTCCCACCATACTGGGTATGCAGCCAGTCGTTGTTGCTACTTGATTGGAACCAGCAATCTTGAAACACCGGTCCAGGAAACGCCACAGCCGTGATGACCGACATATCCAACAGCCGCCAAATAACGGCATCTTCCCATTCGTTAAGTACGACTCAAACAGAAACCGAATCTCGTTTGAGAATACCAAGGGAAAAAACAAGCTCGCATCCGGAGATCCATCGACGATCGTGCGTCTTGGTTTGCTTGGATGGAAAAATCTTCAGTGAAACATTCCATGTAAAGCCCAGCGGGTGGGGTTAGAGTGCGGGTTCTTCACAGGTTTGTAAGATCAGACGAATTGCCGCCAAGTATCTGGAGCAGAGGACAGTGCTCTCTTACATTATTGCCAAGGTACAGTACATTTGTCAAGTAGAGCATAGTTACGGATGTCTCAAGCGAGGAAGACTCATGAACCAGAACATGTCAAGATTGAATTTACATTTCACTGTGGAGCTGCAATTTCCAGGCACTTCCTCGGTTATATTGACCTTGCGAGCTGAGGTGGAACCACGATCTTCACTTGTCCATACTACAAAGTAAATCTCTTACAATTCTGAGTCGTGTAACCGCTCAGGATGAGATGTGGCTGAGCAACTAAGAGATGACTTAGCTCTTCCAATCTCCATTTCAAATAGTCAACATACATACCACTAGGATGCTCTATTCTTTTCCACATCCAAAGTAGCCTTATTATTCTGGGTTAACTGCTTAATATTTAGTATAGACAAGGACCTGCAATATATGACATGGCTTTGGACGAAATTGGGAAAGTCATGTTGCTTATATCTCCTTAATAATTTAAGTATGAACATTCTAGAAACGCCTTTAGAGAACATTTTATGCATTAGAGATAACTGTCCGCATGGCGAGTGTCATCCATTTTGACTTGAGTGGGAGGAAAGCAAACCACCTACTTGCCTTAGTTTTCCTGGTAAAGTGCTCACATGCATCCACTCCACCACGCCTTGCTATTATGCAAGCAGGTGTACCTTTGAATTTAATCCCAACTAAGAAGATTGAGTACAATCATCAATTCTCATACGTGCCAGCTGGAAAAGCCATAATCATATATTTATAAACAATTAATAAAAAAGCACGGTGTCGTCGCTGCCACTTCTAGACACCGAAGCGGGTGACATCATAGCTTTTCACAGAACCCCATTTGCATGCCTATAATCTATTATCGCAATTTATTATTCCTCAAGCCTATGCCATAGCCCACCAACTACGATAAGGGAGATTTGTAGAATCATCAAGCAGGAACCCATTTCTACGCAAGCGAAAATGCGAAATAGGCCGTGTTACTGCCAGCTTTATCAACCAGGCATGTCACCATCCTACTTCACGCGCTTTAAACGGGCGGAGAGATAGTTTTGAATAAGTCGCCCTGCTTTGTAGCCGGCCGTTAAAAACATTATAAATACTTTC